CGAGTCTTACTTGCACTTGCAGCCAACAAAGACTGGAATCTGTGGCAGATGGATGTGAAGAATGCTTTTCTTCATGGAGAGCTGGATCGGGAGATCTACATGATCCAACCAATGGGATTTCAGAACCAAGATCATCCTGAATATGTGTGTAAACTGCGGAAAGCACTCTACGGATTGAAACAAGCACCCAGGGCGTGGTATGGTAAGATTGCTGAATTTCTAACACAAAGTGGTTATTCAGTAACACCTGCAGATTCCAGCTTGTTTGTCAAAGCCAATGAAGGAAAGCTAGCTATCGTGCTAGTGTATGTGGATGACTTGATCATAACCGGTGATGATGAGGCAGAAATTCTTCGGACGAAGGAGAATTTATCAGTCCGTTTCCAGATGAAGGAACTTGGTCAACTCAAGCACTTCCTTGGTCTAGAGGTTGATCGCATACAAGAAGGAATATTTCTCTGTCAACAGAAGTATTCCAAAGATTTATTGAAGAGGTTCGGAATGCTCGAATGCAAGCTGATCTCTACGCCGATGGAGCCAAATGTCAAAATGAGTGCACATGAAGGAAAAGATTTGGAAGATGCGACGATGTATCGACAATTGGTAGGTAGTCTAATCTACTTAACCTTGACTCGACCTGACATTTCTTATGCAGTTGGTGTGATGAGTCGGTACATGCAAAATCCAAAGAAGCCTCACTTGGAAGCAGTTCGACGAATACTGAGATATGTGAAGAGTACAATTGACTATGGTCTTTTGTACAAGAAAGGTGAAGACTGCAAGTTAGTTGGTTACTGTGATGCTGACTATGCGGGAGATCATGACACCAGGAGATCAACAACTGGGTATGTGTTTAAGCTTGGTTCTGGAACCATCTCTTGGTGTAGCAAGAGACAGCCGACGGTATCATTGTCAACCACTGAAGCAGAGTATAGAGCAGCAGCAATGGCAGCTCAAGAGAATGCATGGCTGGTACAGTTGATGAGTGATCTACATCAACCAGTAGATTATCCAGTACCATTGTACTGTGATAACCAATCGGCAATTCGCTTGGCGGAAAATCCAGTCTTTCATGCAAGAACTAAGCATGTGGAGGTACATTACCACTTTATCAGAGAAAAGGTTCTGCAAGAAGAGATTGAGATGAGACAGGTCAAGACAAATGATCAAGTTGCGGACTTGTTCACAAAAAGTTTGAGTACAGGGAAGCTCGAAAATTTTCGCTGTCTGCTCAGCACAGTGCAAAGAATGAGAGCTGACATTGAGGGGGAGTGTTGAAAATCAATGTCAAAGATGTTGAAAATCAATGTCAAAGTTAGGTAAGGAAAATTAGGCAATGTTAGGCATGGTTGAATAAAAATAAATTAGGTGCAATTAATGTGTTTTGTGTGGTAATAAATAATCTTAGTTTATTCATTTGGTTTGCTATAAATACCCAAGTTCTCAAGCATTGTAAATCATCCAAAGAAAAACAAAGCCTAGAGCTAAATAAGAAAAGCTTTGCTAACTAGTTTGTTTTGTGAGCTTTCTTTAAGAGTGTGTTCTATTTTCTTCTTCTTGGGATCATTAGAGTTATCTTGGATACTCTTCTTATTCAACATGGTGCACTTGGACAAAGATGGTATTTGGCTACATCAACATATGCAAGTTCATCACTCACTCCTCTACAAGGGTATCGTCACTTGACACCCACTTCCTTTGCAACGAAAGCTTTCTGGAACAATGGTGGATCTGGTGTGGTGGTTAGGGATTGTACAAGCTCTTTTATGGCAGCGGTGGCATGTTCTTGGTCGGCGTTGCTTTCAGTTTGCTCTGTCTTTAGTTGCACACAGGTTCAGTTCCAAGGGCATTCTCAGCTTGTTGTGGCTGCCATGCAGAGGATCCAACTATTTCATCGGTGCATGGAGATTTGATCGAGGATTATATAGTGCAAAATTTCAACAATTTTGCTGTCTATAGTTCGGTGGCATGTGAATGGAGTTGCACATCAGTTGGCTTGCGTTGGTACTTTCTCTTCCTGTACGGAGAGGATTTGGTTTCAGTGACCTCTAACTTTGCTGATTAATATTTCATTATTTTACTTGAGGATTGTAACCTTTTCAACTGTGGTACAACTTTTAACGTACGTTTCCATGGGTTCTTTCCAATCAGCTGTTTGAACTTCATGTAGAATGATAAAAATTGGAGGTGGAATTAGTGGTGAATTTCCTCTCCAATTAAGTTTATGTTCAAAGTTAATGAGCCAAAACTACATCACCAATACTTAAATTAGAACACTACACAAGTAATTAATTATGTACGCTACTAATTAGTAAATTATTATTTCAATAGTCTAGAGCTAGTTGACCAGCAATAATGCTGCACACAGCAATAGGAGATGCAGAACATAGCTTCTTATTGCAAAGTTTGTTGTTTCAGCTGAGCTGCTCCAGCTGAGAAGCCAGGGAGGAGCAATGAATCGGCTGCAAGTCTGTGGTTTAGGATAGCCTCGGTAAGCCTCACAGACGTACCTCTCAAAGTTTTGGTAGTCCTGCATGAAATCCACAATATGAATGATAAAGAGAGTGGTTTAATTGGCGTTCGTGTATGTGTTTGTGCAGGCACCCGCGAAAGTTTGAATTAGAGAAAGAGATTAGAGGGAAGGAGATTAGGGTTTACATTATAGAGTGGTTTTTGATTGACAACAACCCATGGGACACATGTAAGAGGCGGATTGAGACTGTAGGTTTCCAAAATATAATGTAGCATGAGCTGCAGCATATGACAATTCATAGATTAATTAGCAATAGAGTTTTGTGTATATATCTAGACCGGCCCTGAGATTTTGAGGGCCGCGGTGAGAAATTTAAACTGGAACCCGTACTATGAACTGAAACAAAATGTGCAGTGTCCGGTTTGGGCTCACCTTTCTCTCATATCCACTATTGTAGCATGTCAGTAGAGGTTCGTGGCTCAAATTGTGAATCTGACAACAATATTTCCATACATCTTCTTTCAATCGATGTTCTTTGACGGCAAGGTATTCAACGCAGGAAATGAAGGGTAAATGCTGCTTCTGCATCACACAGTTAAAAGAGATGAATTAATTAGGCTGTGTTATTATTCACAGGTGCTGGAAAAATTAAATAAGCTAGGGCTTTACCACATTTGGCCAGACGCTGATCGCACAGGCTTGTATACTATTCAAGTAACATTCATCTTGGCCATGCTGCAATGAAAGCACAAGCCACAATTAGTTATTAATCAAATTAACTAGTGCAAATACATATAATAAAACTATACTAAACATATAATACCAAAAATGAACTAGGGGCCGGGAAATGGGACCTCGCAAACGACGGTGTCATTAGGTCCTTCGACACGGACATTTCCAGAGGGCACTAGCCGGAGGTTGATAATGGCCATGAGATCCTCGTCCGAAATCAATAGGGGTAACAGTTGCTCGATGAAGGAAGCACAGGTTGAGCATAGAGTGCCATAATAAATAGTCAGGTCAACTTTCTGATGATGATCAGCTACTTGGGGCTCCAGAGGAAACGAAGGCGGGGCGACGGAATCAATGCTATGACCATCTTCAACAGAAGCGCAAGACGGAGGAGAAATGGACAGCAAAAGAGTAAGAACAAGGAGGGAGAAGAGCAGCTTAGGAGAAGTCATTAAGGCATCCATTTTGTTCTTAGTATTTGCTTAATTAGCACGTAAGAATGGTGATCATGTATTTATACTATAAATATGCTCCAAGTGCAGTGTGAACACTTACCAAAATTGTTTAGGATACAAAATTACACGTCGGAAATTCGTGGTCTTGTATCTATATATATATTATAAGGATTAATTTGCACATCATTTTCCAACTCTTTGTGTTCATCTATTTTGTTTGCATTATCTAGCCATTTAGGAATATTGTTTTATTTCCAAATGAGTAAGAAATCATTTAAATGAAGAAGAAAAATAGAGCGAAAGTTATATAATTAAGCTTTTAGAACCCTTGTGTATCCACCTAGTATGGCTAAAATTTTGGAAAGTCCTGCAAATCCACGTCAAAAATCTTTTAATATATGGGGCTAAGGATGACCTACTCAAACTTAGGGTGAAACAAGAATAACACTCATAATGCATATCACTAGTATATAGCCTCCCTCGATGGCTCAATCACATATGTCCATTTTTGGCTTCCAACCAAATAGGTGAGTTCTAAGGGCTCATTTGTGTCTAGGGTTGGTTTGAATTGGGTTGGTGTCAAATGTTAGATCAATTCAGATTAGATCGTAGAATTGCATAAACGCACAAGAACACAATAATTTATAATGATTCATTTGAAGTTGTTACGTCCGCATTAGTGTTAGTGTAGTTTCTGTTTTCACTATATAATCGAGTTTTACAATACATATAGAGGCTTGTTGCTTTTTAGAGGAGAAAGTGTGCATCTAGGGTTACAATGTGAGGAATGAGGATGATTGGGAGTTATCCCTAAAATAAGGGCGAGGGAGCCCTTTCATGAAGAATTAGGGGTTCTGGCCGTGCCGATTCCCTGATTCGAATCATTCTTTCTTTTGACAGCAAGTGCGGTTCACAGCTAAACAGTGACACCAAATATGATACTAACAGATTAGATTAGATTAGATTGGAAAACTCATACAACTAAATGTATAAGTGAAGGTAGAGCTTAATGAATTTCAATTTGAGGGGATGGGAAAAGATTATACATGAAGAAATGCATCCCTTTTATGCACCGGACGAGCTCTAGAGTTCATAGCTCCAAACACACCCTTTTAGGTAGGTGTAGAACATCACCATCAAATCAATTTCATATATGAATAAATGAATTTGAGTCCTACCAACAATATATAATTGTTATATGTCACTTTCTCATGAATTTGGTATATGCCATGTCAGCAGGTATATATATACATGGGATTCACACTCAACTCTTTGAAAGTGTATAGATTTTTAGTGATAAGAACTGGCAAAGTGATCTATGAAGTTCATATATTTTGATGCTTTTGAAATTATAATCTGATTGGTTACCTTTGTCTCAAAGTAATTGGGCTTTTTTTTCTGTCTAAGATATGGTAAGGCAGATAGATTGGCATGCACTTGACCTTCCATTGCAGCACAAAGCAGTCGGTTTGAGAATTTATTTATCCTTTAGAACTTCTAAATGCTAATGTAATATTTGACTTATGAGCTCAATAGAAATCAGGTAACTAAGCAAGCTGAGAAATTGATTTCTGCGGCGATAGAGTACTCTACTGTGCCTTTTGCTTCAAATGCACAGATTGGCAAGCCATCGGCACAAAGCACCTTTGTAAGCCTTGCAAACGTAGGTAGCGAAATTTTCATAGTCCTGTATTAAGGCGAAAAACGTTGAGAGACATAATCCTGCATCAAGGCAAAAAATGTAGAGTGAAAGGGAGATGACCAAGATTTTCAATCGGTTGATTATTCAGACCAGCCATGGAACGAACTTAAGAGGCGGACTGAGGTGCATGGTTTCATTCGCATATTTTTGTTCAAGCTGCATTGCATTAACAACCTCAATTGTCAGATTACATGACATATGAACACGAATTCTAGTAGATACGACTATGACTATTCGACGAGTACTAAATCAAAATAACCTTTGTTGCATTTGCACTTTTGTACCAATCCAAAACGGGCTTTAAAGGCAATCCCAATGAGCTGAAACAAGTTTGCCATTCCTTGTGCCTTCCCTCAATTACCAGAAATTCGATGCAGTATATCAAAGCAAAATGCTTGTTCAGCATCACAAATTCATCCTAGTGTAAGATAATGTGAATTTGAGTGCATTTAAGACCAAAATTATCACGGTCAAGTCCAAGTACCTTAGTGTATATGATTATATACATTAGTGTATATGTATACATTAAGTTCCAACACAGTATTAAATCTAAAATATCAGAAATAAAATATATGGGAAGAGAGGGGTCTCACCACATCATGCAAAACATAGATCGCGTAAGCTTCCAGAGAATTTAGATTGCACGCATATGGTCCACGCTGCAAAATTTCACAAAAATCATCATCAAGAAACGAAGGGCCGTTTGACAATCATTTTGTTTATATGTTTTAGTTTTCATTTAGTTCCCACCACCTCCCTTAATCCTTCTCCACTACACGTTTCTCCAATATATTTTCTCCCTATCTCCAAAGCCTAAAATGAACCGGTTATATCAGACGGATCTAAATGTACAATAATACCTGTTTGGTTGCTAATATTTTGATGTAAGAAAAGAAGTAACAAAATATGCAGAAGTATTCATGCAATAAAACTGTAAAACTTCATTAAAAAGATGAAATGGAGATTCGACCTGACAAAAGGTGGCTGTAGAAGCATTTCCCCATGGAACCAGCCTGAGATTGAGAATGGTGATGAGACCGTTGTTGGAAATTCGAGCAAGATTTTTGGCGATGAGAGTGGCACAATGGGGACATAGTGTTTCAAAGTAAACTGAGAGAGTAATTTTCTGAGCTTCCACCATTGAAACTCCGAATGAGCACAAAGAACTGGCAATGATCAAAGTGAAGAATAAATAAGTACTAGTAGCCATGTCTCTGAGATTTCAGAGCTACTAGTTTTAAATTTATACAGTTGGTTTAATTAAAAACCTCCTACTCCTACCAAACATGCGATTTCAATTTCCAATATTTATTATAAATTCATTTTGCAGCTGTCAAATCCCTTTCGATCTAATTTGGGAAATGCTTGTAGGGTTAAAGCTTCTGTCTTTACTGTAGGGCTTTTTGGTTCTTACCGTGTGACTAAGATGGCATCAGTGTTTACCTACAAGTTTCTGCAGAAACAAGATTCGTTTGTCTTCTATACTTTTGGCAACAAGTCTTCCAAACGCGTTTATGATTCTTGGCTTATTAGACACATATCATCCAGTAGTGGATATAGAATTTTCCTGTTGGGGTCAAAATATAGCCCAACCCATGTCACTTTGCTCATTATTGTCACGCCTTCCTCATCGTGAAGGACTTTTGTCAAGGAGCTTACCCCACGACAGCCATACTCAAGTAGAGATGGAGCATTTTTAGATCATAAATAGCAAAACGGGCAAGTATGTGCAATAGCCTTTACGCGCCATTATGTGGATCCGTTGTTGAAAATTAATGTCAAAGTTAGGTATGGAAAATTAGGCAATGTTAGGCATGGTTGAATAAAAATAAATTAGGTGCAATTAATGTGTTTTGTGTGTAACTTTGACATTGATTTTCAACATCCGTCGTTGAGAGCAGCAATTCGTCATATTTCATTATACACCAATTTTATAGTAATGTGAAAGATGCAAGCAATGACACAACAACCAACTGCTGTCAAGTTTGCCATCACTTGGTCACCTCCATGGCATCAATGAAACACTGCGCATTGAAGCGTTCTTTGGTATTACAAACCCCACAATTACAGTGACTTGTGTCACATAACCTATATATATAAGAGTACAAATACTAAATTTTGCAGATGAGCATCAGTGTGAAGAGTTCCTTCCTTGATTTGCAAGGCAAACTTGAGGAACAGGTTTTTCTTGCTCGGTTGATTCGGTCTCATAACGAATTGATATGCAAGCTTGTGGAGGTGTGCCTTTGTAAGCCTTACAAATATAGGCCATAAAGTTTTGGTAGTCCTACGTACATACAGCAAAGTGTTAACAAGGGTGACAAATAACAACTTAAATTACCTATACCTTGGATGCCACGTTGACTGATATTCATGTAAATTGGCTTGGGATACCAACAACGTGACATCTTGGGTAAGTTTCTCTCAACAAAATAGAGATGACAAGGTGAATGAATTACTAAGTGACCTACCTCTTGAAGTGGTTTATCATTGACAATCACCCATGGCACAAATCTATGTGGAGGTTTAAGCTGAGCAGTTTCCCTAACATATCTTCCTTCAATCTATATATGTATCAAGCGAAAATCTCAATCCATGAAGCTCAATTCTCAAACATGAACCAGTTCATATTAAAAAGCACCAGAACAATACACGCATTAAGAGGAATCCCACTCTACTTGTTTACAGAGCGGGGATCAATAGTATCCTCGTCTTGCCTTTATGGTGACCATGTATTGCCTACATAACACACTTTAGCCAACAAAACGGCAAAAAACATTCAACTATAGACAAACTATGCGGTCAATACATGGTCACTATACAGGATGCTATACCGAGGTCCCGGCTAAGAAGCTAATCCTAAATACATATGTGTATGTGAAATATAAGTGAAACTAACCACATAGCCATTTCCACTGTTGTAGCAATCGATAGGCTCAGTGCCTAATCTTGTCATTTCAAAGCAATTGGCCCAAGCACCGTGTTTGCCCCCCAATGTATAGCGCTCCACGCAGTGGATAAATGTGAAATGCCGATTCTACATGCATTAAAATTTGATCAAAATATTAAACTATGATTTAAATATTTGGTTTTGCTTAATTAGTGGATTGATGAGTTGCTTACCACATCAGGATAGATGCTAATGGTGCAGGCTTCAATGGTGTTGAGCAAGCATTCATCTGATCCATGCTGCAATATCCAAAAGAAACAAGGGCAAAACATGTTTTAGTCCTTGTAATTTTCACAAAGTTTTGGTTTTTGTCCTTGTATTTTCAATTGCATCGAATTTGGTCCCTCTAGTTTGCAAACTCCGTTAATCCAACCGAAGTTGGTGGATGTCTTTCGATTGGAACAATTTGCAAATTAATTACAGAGATCGGATTCGATTTAATTGAAAATACAAAAACGACAATTAGGGAGTGAGGTATGCCAAACCACATAATAGGTCGGCCATATTTTGATGTTTAAACTTGCCGCCCAAACAGAATTAAATCTAGATTTTTCACTTACAAGTAAAAAAAACTAACATTATGTTAGTAGCTAGAATAATGTCAGGGAAACTAAATTTGTATACTAAATTAGTGAACCAAATGAGGTATCACCGATAGAAAATAACACATTTATCAACAATTAAGTAATAACTCAATCACCAACTTCCATGTCATTTAATTTACAAAATTTAATTTTTCTAACATTACCTAGTAGCTAATTAGAAACTCATTTGAAAATACTTTTAAATAACTAAAAGTACTTTTTAGTGAAGTTGATTTTGAATTTTAAAAAGAGCACTAAAAATATGTCTCTTTCAAAAATCAATTAAATAGTTTTTTCAACATTCACTTAATTTTTACTAAGAATTAATTTAAAAATAGTTTCACTAAAACTACTTTTAATTATTAAACATTTATAAACGAGCTTTAAAATTACAAATCAAGCCAAGACAATGTGGTAGTTTGACAGGTACAAGAAGACACATTAATAATACCGCCTCTGATGAGGTGGCCACAAGAACTGGATGTAAGGTCTCGTGATTGGCCCCAGGGGAATGACAACGCGAAAAAATGGGACAGGCCCAAAAACCGCAACCGACGCCGTTTGAGGCACGCAACTGACAAAATTTTTGATCCGGTTACCAGTTGCAGGGTGCAGCTGGAGCAAGAAAGGTATAATAACGGCAAACAAGACCAGATTCAAAGCAATGGAAGGGAAAGGGTTACCTGGCAGGCGAAGGAACCGTCGGGATTGAGCCAGGCGTTGCCCCAAGGGACCAGCCGGAGATTGACGGCGGAGATGAGATCGTTCTGGAAGATCTTGACCAGGTGGTTGACAATGAAGTTTGCACAGTACGGACACAGAGTTTCGTAGTAGAGAGTCACTGAAACCTTCTCAGAAGAAGCAGATGGAATTACCAATATCCCCAGAAAGAAGAAGAGGATGAAGAGTCTGAAGGATTTTCTGATAAAGCCCATCTTTTACATCAAATCAATTTTCTGTACAAAAGTGTGCGTATTTATTGAATTCACTGACCTGTACATTCATATGCTCTAATATCTGAGTCCACGTGTCAATTGCCTTTTTTTTTTTTGTATTTCACTTTCACATAGATGGTACTGTGTTAGCGTGATACCAACTTTCTTTTCGAGTGGAAAGAAATTTTAAGTTTGAATCTCTTTGTTTTTTTATGAAAAAAAGAATGGTGTCAAATAGGGTTTATAGTTCGCAATGTGATTCTCGAATACCAATATCAGTTAATAATGTTTCTCTTATTTTGCAATTTTGAAAGTATCTGAGTTATTTTGAACAAAATATATCAAACGTAATTATTGAGGAGAGATATTTAAACACTGAACTTCAAACGTAAGATGAAACGTTTTTAATCATTTCAATTACAAGTACCTTAAGCAAAAAGTAAAGAATGAAGACGGTAAGTATTGAGGACAGCAAAACACCATCTTGTATCTTTTTTATGGGGCTACACGAAGGGACTGTGACGGCAGAAAAAAACAAGGATGTGATTTAGTTTTGGGAATTTTAACGAAAAGTTTACGGTACGGTTTACTTTAATGAAAAATCATATTTTTACAATAAAAGTCAAACCTAGTACTATTCACTCTACCCTTTATTTTGTCCTTATCGTTAAAACTTAAAGTTTTCAAACCGTTTTAATTAGTTTTCCTGTTAGTTTCTCTATCACAACGATATTTTAAACTAGAATAACATGGGTATAAAAAAATCCAAATTTGAATGCAAATGATTGAATCGACTGACTGAGGGGAGAGAGAATTTGATTCAATGTCGGACTGAGGCCCATAAAAATTCGTAGTCATTGGATGAACCCAGGCCCAAATTTGAATCACATCCACTTTCAAACAGTCGAAAGCCCTCCAAGTCCTCCATTTTCTTCAACCTTGACAACGATAAACACCAATAATCTCAAAATTTTCAGAGGCTTCCCCAAATCCACTCTTCCTCATCCGATGGCCTCCATCAACTTCAACCCCTTCGAAAGCTGGTTCAATAAACCCCAAACCCCCTCCCGCCCATCAACCTCCTCTTCCTCACCGACTCATTCTTCCACCGGCCCACCACCGGGCAATCCCCTCCCAATTTCTCATCCCTCAGCCCGTCCAACCTCTTCAACGGCTCCCCGAAACCCGACCCGAAAAACCCATCGGAGCCCGAGCCGGAAAATCCCGGACACTGCACCCAGATGCTGGAGCGGTTCTTCTGGGAATGCGAGAACGACCCGGATTACAGACACGCCCCGGAAGTCGAGAAGATTCTGAACGAAGACCCGATTTTCGAAAAGGAGAACTCAACTGAGGAGGAGGTCCGGGAGAACGAGAGGTTTTGGAATGAGTTCCGGGAGAGCCCGGTGGTGAAGTTTCTGGCTCAGGCGAAGAAGATTGCCGATATGGTTAATGAGCTGGAGCTGAAGGAGAATGACCGGCCTTACAGGGATGAGGATAAGAAGCTGTGGCAGGCGGTGCCGCATGTTATCGGGCCGGACGGGAGGCCGATCCCGAGGAAGGCGATAAAGACGAGGCAGGAGTCGGATGACAAGTTCTGGGATTTTGCAAGGCAGTTCTTTTTTTGGGCTTTTGGGGTTCCACCAGCAACCGTACCCGCCCGCCCGGCCTATTGACGTTGCTCAGGCGATCGGGTATAAGCGGCTCGAAAAGCGGTATTATGATTGTAAGTTTGTGCGTTTAAATCTCTGTGGTGAACACATTTGCATATGTTAGTCTGAAGAATGTAGTTTTGTAATTTGGTTTTGCTGCATAGTGTAGTGAGATTATGAAATGGATTTTCGAGCCGGGCTTAAAATATCGTGTGGTTATTTCGTCACTCTGAAAATTGGCTACAAAT